CTTTTATTAATCCGTGTAAATGATCTTGGCTAACTTGCGTGGTATTACTTTCTTTAACAAATGATATTATTTTATGAGTAAATCTTATATACATTGACAGACAGTCTGTATAACATCAAAAGATGATCCTCTATTTTGGGAGGGAGGAGGGGTTTTAACGAGTTGGAAAGGCAACCAAAGGGTGGTCAATGTAATTAACACAAAAGACACGATGGTATATAAAATAAACTTACTGGTCAAAGACTCAATATCAAATGTATTAGTGGGTTTTTGCCGGTACATAATACTTGCTGTGTACAATGTACGCACTGATCAGTCAACTTTTGGAATTTCTATAGTATTATCCTCGGCCGGCACGCATGTATCCCCAAAGGAGAGTTGAGATAGAATTCGCAACCTATATTCCAGCATGAGAAGAAGCTGATATCATAAGCTCTACATGATGTAAATAGTAGTGTAACCTGTCAAATACTTACAAATACACGTACCAGGAGCCTGATGCGTGCCCATATTTACGTACATACTAAATTTCCCAAAGTCTTTCCCTGTTTTGGAAAGTCTTGCTGCATCATTTATGGAAACAGTGCACACCTGTCCACTAATTCATTGTATTATGCGCTTAATTAGGTTGGGACTTGGGAGTTTACTGAGTTTTCAAGGCTTATCACGAAAAACAGTCCAACACCTTGCAAATTCTGAGTTGGCCACGTCGACTAATACTGTTCAGCAGCCCATTTGGTAAAATCCGGATGACATAAGAAATTATTTGATCAACCTAGTACTTTTTAAAGCAACAAACACTTAAATTCATAAAGGCACGCCAACCATGACAAAGTGCCTCGACGCTGACGGGTCAGTCTGTAATGGATGAGGGGCTGGTGTGACTGCAGGCGAAATTGTTCTGCACTTTTCACCATTGATGATTCATCATGTTAACTCGGTCCGATTTGAACGATTCATTTTAAATTTAGATTGTTTATTTTAAAATTATAGAACTTGAAATAAAACAATTTAAATTTATAATTAACAGTCTAAGCCTAAATCAGACCGAGTGAAGTGTGATCCAATTTGGACCGTAAGAAGCACTCTGTTGTTGCATGCAACCACAACGACAGAGGCCCTCCCTTTATTAATTACTAGCTACTATTCAATGCACACCTAATATGTGTGCAATCAAAAAATATATAATATGTATGGTCATATATTTTACATAAAATTTTTATTACTAAAAAAATTTTAATCTTTTAAATATTTTTTATAAAATGATTTTATATTGGTAGTTATAATATTTATGGGTAGTTATGTTAAAAAGTTAAAAACACATACTTAACTAGTTAAAAGTAAAAATAGTCATGGATAGTTATAGGTAGTTAAAATAAAATTAGCTTTTATAGGGTCAAAAAACAAAGTTCATAAAGTGACGATAAAATGTTAACTTTAATGTTAATCCCAAACCCTTTTTAAGGTTTTATATATAGCATAGATGTCTGGCGTTTGAGGTTGTGATAAATTATTGAAAAGTACTTACTTATTAGAGTTTTTAACAAAAGTACTTATTAACTGCTTAAGTGCTTTTAAATATATTGTTTGGAGATATAGTTCAATAAGTACTTATTGTATTGAATAATGTGTAATTTAAAAAATTTTAAAAGTGTTTATCTCTTTATTTAGTTCATAATATAGGATAAAATGATTAAATTTGGTATTATATTTTTTAAATTACAAAAGTTACTGTAAAAGTACCAAATTTGAACTTTTGCTAAAAGTATTTTTAATACCAAAAATTTTACTTTTAATTTATAAGATGATATTCATCAAACACTTTAAAACATAGTTATTAAACCTGGCCCACCTGGCGGTTCAACCGGTCATGAAATCGGGCCAGGTTCTTAATAAGATCGTTTTTGCATTGAATTCGTTGACTTTTCAACGGACCGACGATTGAATCGGTTAACTCGATTGAACAGGCCGGTTTTACGAGGAACCCAATTTACGGGAAATTTTGTAAACATTGCTAGATTGGAGATTCGAACGCGTGACCTCATGCAAAGAAGTAGACTACCATTACCGCCAGACCAACCAACCATTAATTAGTTATTTTGTTCTTATACTATATATTAGAGTCTTATTCTTATTTTATTTCTCCAAAACAAAATTTATTTGGAATCTTTTAATAACGTTTTTATTATTCCTTGAACTCTATAAATTATGAAATTGACTTAAAAATAACATATTACACAAATCATTTTAAAGGCAAATATTATTCTTAATAAACTTTTGCACTTAAAATTCATAAATAAACTAGATAATTACACTTAGATAAAATTGTATACTTGAAATTTGGTGGATTACTAATTAAATTTAGGTTGTTAATTCTTAGAAAAATTAATGAATCTATAATAAATTAAACTAACTGAATATTTATTATGGCAAAAAAATTATAAAATATAATATTTAAATATATGTAGTGACCCACCAGTTGGACCACTCACCCACCAGTTCAACAAGTAACCCGTTGACCCACCTCTCTCACCGGATTCCTTCCCGGACCGGGTTTAATAACTATGCTTTAAAAGTATTTTTAGCATCTAAAAGTGCTTTTTTTTTAAATCAAAAGCACCGCAACGCCAAATTTTATGAGATGATATTCACCAAACACTTTAAAAGTATTTTTAGCATCTAAAAGTACTTTTTACCAAAATCACCGCGGCGGGGACTAAATCAAGAACCCTGCGCTGCGTTTGCTTTCTTACTGAAGATGCTTTCTAAGCAGGAACCAGGCATCCTAAATTGGGCTAGCATACAAAACAAGAAATCAGGGTTTTAGTCCTTAGTTGTTACAGAAAAAGTTCTCATGAGTAGCCCCAATCGGTTTGGGGTGAAGCATGTTACAAGACGGAGTAATGTTGCAATGTCATAAATTATCGTGAAGTTTAGAGGTAAACAAACAACGGCTATTTAATATATATATATATATATATATATATATATATATATTTATATAACAGATGAGGAATAGGATTTAAAAAACAAACAAGGGGAAAATGGGATCTCAATTTTGGCTACTTAGCAATATATAAAATGAGTGGAAGATAAAAATATTAGGTATGTTTGGATATATGATTATTTAGAAAAATATTTATGTTTATAACAAATACGTCTTTTAATCGCCTTTTTTTTTTATTTTCCTATAAAAAGGGAACAATGTTGCACATTAGGTTTCCATAATCTTATAAACCATTGAGTTAGTCTCACTATGCATTTAATAAAACTGAAAATTGAAATCTAAATTCATTAAGTTATTAAATTAAAATGATTCTTCGAAAAGTTAATAAAAAGTGAATATATATTTTTTAAAATCGTCAGATCTATTTACTTTAATTGAAATGATTCTCCGAAAAAATTCATTGACATTTAGAAAAACTAATAAACCAATTTTATTTGAATTTAGTTGCTTCATCTTCCTCCAGGAAATTTAAGAAAGAAAAATGCATTCAAGCTTTTCACTTGTGCACTTTGGATGACCATAAAGCCCCTAAAGCACTAATTGTTTGACTTCAATGTCCTCACGAAGTACCACTACTATTTTAACTTCCCAGTTCCCACGTCTCTCTCCGCAGTACCATCACTACTAATATATATATCTATAGTTCAGCCACCGCTCCTATTTGCATTTCCAAGGAACGTCTCCCAGTCTTTCTCTGCGTCCTCCGCTTCATCACCAGCCAATATACTACGAGTCAAACGTTTGCATTTACATACATCACTCTCTTCTCTTCACAAGTGCAGACTACGGAGTCTCTAAATCTGGGGAACAGAAACGAAAAGGAAAGACAGAGAAAAGAGGCCAAGGGAAAGGGATCTTTCCCCCTTGTACAGCCATCCCATACCATACATGCTCAGCAAAGCCTATCTCCACTGGTGTAGTTTTTTCATGAATTTTCGAGCTGCTACTTTTCAGATTTTGTTAACAAAGAGAAATTTCGACTTCAAGTTCTCCCCCTGCCTCGATTTCATCCGCCATCAGCAATGCAGTTGACCCCATTCCGGTAATATACCCTTCTCATATTCGCAACAACCTCTCTGTTTTTTCTATGCTCTGTTTTGGTGTTGTCGATTTTACACATTAAATTGACCTCCTCTCTGTTTCTGTGTCACCTTCTGCCCACTTTCAAGACTTCTGACTGATTGTACGAATATAAGATATGGGCCATCACAAAGCATTAATATCCTTAGATTTCTGAGCACAAACTTCACCTTTCCAACTTTTCAACAATTCAAGTCCCTACAAATAAGGCAAGAATATTAAACGTGTCTTCATTTGCAGGTCCTTGATTAAAGAGTTGATTAGATTGAGTTTCCAGGATCATAGAATTTCTACTATTTGATATGCATCTCATTTTGGTCATCCCTGGTTTTTTTTTTTGGTTTCTTTTCGATGTATACACTGGGGGGAGTAGTAGTCTATTTTAATGCTCGGTTTTTCGTTATATCTGATAGGTAGCTCTGACTGCAATGAGCTCTTCTTAAAAAGGTGACTCTTTTTTCACCATTCATGGATTCATAATCAAGATTTGGTCTTTTAACTCCTAAAAAGTTTGTTAGAACTTTTCTCCTCCTCCTTTATTTTGCTGCTCCTCCACTCTGTCTGCCTCTCTGTAAAGTGTTCAGCCCGAAATTCTGAGATTATTATTCTGAAAGAGAAAGGAACTAACTGGCCTCTTTCTCCACCTCCCCCTTCGTTCTCTCTCTTCCATCACCCGCTTTAAAATACTACTGGTGTTATAAAAATACACACAGTAGTATTTTAACAAACACAGTACTGCCTTCCTTTCCCAGTAACATTTTTCTCAAGTCTTGTGTTGCTTTCCTCAGAAGCTGTCTCCGTTTCCCCTGCAAATTGGTCTTTTAATAATTAATATTACCCGTCGAATGCTCCATTTTTATCACTTGTTTATAACAGGGAGCAGGCCTCCAAACAGTTTTGAGTTGTTGACATATTTCAGCCTTTCTTCCCAATGTTTCACACCCACATAAATATATTTGATCAATTTCGTTATTTAAACTGGGGTGTTAAATTAGTTCAAATTGCATCACAAAATTTATTCCCGAATCGATCGATATCTACACGCTCCAAAGTCCACTCCTCCTAACACAAACTGGCTCTCCTCTCTCTCTCTCTCTCCCTCTCCCTCTCTCCCTCTCTCCCTCTCTCTCTATTTGCAGATTGTTTGCAAACTTCGAGCAATGAGAACGGAACGGATGAATTCTAAGGTACTGCTAAATCTCAAGGCCTCCGGGCTACGGGACGTTTAAGCGTAGATCTTTCGGGCATAATTCTTGAACTTCTTTTTTGGTTTTTTTGCAGGGCTCATGGCCAAAGCTGGTCGTCAGAAAATTGTTGAACATAAGGAGCGGTGCCGATGAATTTCATTCGGACTGCGCGGTAACTGGTAAGATTTCCGTAATTTCAGACGATCATAGGAATTCATATTTGATGCATTATGAATTACGTCGAAGGTTTATTGATAGAGTTGTTAAATCAGGTATGATGGATAAAGTTGAACGGAGAAGGAAGAGTTGTTCAGATCAAGGCTCCCACGTCGTTGTGCCGGAGGATTTTGCTGGTAGGTTATTTTTTCTGGCGCCGCTCTTTTGACATTCGATTGTTTCCGTACCGTAAAACTGTCGACTGAGGTTGCGGTTGGAGGGAGCAGTAGTTTTACTGAACTTCAGCTCATTTAGTAGGCGGCAGCGCCAGTTAGCCACCTGATCATGGGCGTTTAGGTCCCTGTCACGGCGCTGGTTCGGGGATTAAATCTCCTCGCCAGTATCAAACGCCATCAATTCCTCTAATTCAAGGGGTGGTTTAGTCGCTTTTGAATTTCAATGGCTCCATTGAATTTGTCCCCTTCCCCCGTAGGATAAGAGTAAATAAAAGTATAAAATGCTGAGGTTTGACGGAAAAATAATATATTGCCTGCTTCTTTCCCCATCGTCATTGATTAGCTTCTTTCCCCATCGTCATTGATTAGCTTCTTTCATTTGCTCATGAAAAAGGGCACTTTGGATTAGTTGGTTTTCGTTAGCCTCTAACGAACCTGAATCCCCTCTGCCTATTGTGTGCCACGTCATTGTCTCGTCTTCTCTTTAATTTTTGGATCAAAGTCTTGATCTGATGATGATGATGATCAGAGGGTTGGTTACTCGAAGCCCGTAATGGAATTGAAAGCCCAACACTTGAACTGGATGGAGCCGCAGCAGCGTCAGATAACCGCGACCTTAGGTAAGGCAATAACAGCTCTGATTAACCGAAAGACATATTTTTTTAGCAAATATGTTAACCATCTCTCAAGGCCTTATGCAGATAAGGTAGTTCCCCTTTGATATCCTGCTCATCTTAGTAGTAAACTTCCATCAAGTATCACATAATATTGGATTTCCAGTAGTACAACATAATAATATTCATACTGCAACAATTTGGTTTTATTTTCATACGGAAAAAAAAGGGGACTTTTCCCCTTTCTTTTTCAGAACATCTTCTAATATTCAATGTTCTCTGACATTAGACCTTTTCCCCTTTTTTTTTTTTCTCAAAGATTCTTTAAATTATTCGCAAATGTTGGGATTAGATGTATACAGACATCACAGTTCTACCGCTCGCGTCTAGATATTCTGTTGATGAATGCCATCTGCTTATTCTTCTGTCGAAAATTTTTTAAGTCCGCATAGTAAAAAAATCCATAGAGGACAAACAACTGTGTGGTGTTTTCTTGTCTCCATCATTAAAATTGATGGAGTCTGTAATTTTTTTTTTCTCTTTTTTATCAAAGTTATTATAGCATCTACTTGATGTTTAAGCACCATTTTGTGGTGGATCTACGCCATAATAGGATGTTCGTGGCGACGTGGAATGTAGGTGGCAAGTCACCGCATGAGGGATTGACTTTGGGCGATTGGTTGAGAACATCGACACCGGCTGACATCTATGTGCTTGGGTATGCTTGTTTTCTACTTTTTTTTTACAGTAATTTTTCCCCCGGAACAAGACCATTTTGCAAGAACATAGTTAGTTATAAGCAGTGATTTACTTTATAAGAACAAAAATTGAAAGAAAAAAAATTACTTCTTTTCTAGTTTTCAAAAAATAAAAAATAAAAAAACGAAATGGGTCTACAAAGTTGCATAAACCAAAAAGCGATCCTATTAAGATTACCCCAAGAGAAGCTCGCTAGGTTCGGTTGGAAGATTTCTCCATCGTTTAACGGCTTGTCCATTTCGTCAGCTTTCAGGAGATCGTGCCTCTTAATGCCGGTAACGTACTGGGTGCGGAGGACAGCGGTCCATCTGCCAAATGGCTTTCTCTGATTCGCCAAGCTCTCAATGGAAATCACCATTCAGCCACTGATGATTCCCCGCCGGAAGATTCAACTTTACCCGCCTCACAATCCCCACATGACCGGCGACAATTTGCTGCAAAACCAGGGGTCAACTCCTCGGACATGCTCTCACCGGAAAATGGAATAGACCAGCAAGAAGGGTTGGAAAGATACTTGAGTTTGAATGATCCGAATAATTCATTTGCAAGTGAAGAAGCTTCAGCAGCCAGTCCATCGGCCGTGTCAACAGGGCCCAGTAGTCCGAATGGGATTAAATACTGCTTGGCGGCCAGCAAGCAGATGGTAGGAATATTTTTATGCGTGTGGGTACGTTCAGATTTGCGCAAGCACATTTCCAGTTTGAAGGTTTCCTGCGTTGGGAGAGGCATCATGGGATACCTTGGAAATAAGGTACTACTGCTGGTTATTATGCTATGCGGCCGTTGTTGTTTAGGTAAAAAAAAAAAACAAATTTGTTTGGAAGATTCTGCATTGGATCTTTGTGTAACCCCTTGGCTGGTGGTGTTAGTAGGGATCAATATCAATGAGTATGATATTGCATCGGACGAGTTTCTGCTTCGTTTGTACTCACTTGGCCTCTGGAGAGAGAGAGGGTGATGAGATAAAAAGGAATTCGGATGTGATAGAGATTTTGAGGAAGACAAGGTTCTCTCACCCCTGCGGAATACCAATGCCGGGAAAACCAGTTCCACCGGATGGAATTTTGAATCATGAGTAAGTAATAAGTACTGCTCCTATTAAATTTGAATTAGTCGGTCCATACCTTGTTGGATAGATTTATAATCATGGTGACCCAGCGGAGTAACCTATTAAATTTGGATGCAGAAAGATAATATGGCTTGGGGATTTAAATTATCGACTTGCACCTAATCCTAATGGTGGAGACGCAATTGAGCTACTCAAAAAGAACGACTGGCAAGCACTCCTAGAGAAGGATCAGGTATTTCAAATGTTTCAGCATAAAGGAAAATACTACCTACCAATACCATATGCTGAATTGTAGTAGTACTATTTATTTATTACTCTAGCAGTAACTAAACACAACCTTGGTGGATGATTGGCAGTTAAGAATTGAACAAAGGGCTGGTCGTGTTTTCATTGGTTGGGAAGAAGGCAAGATTTACTTTGCACCAACATACAAATACCTCAAAGATTCTGACACCTACGTTCTTCAAACCGCCACGTCTAAAGAGAAGCGGCGCACTCCTGCTTGGTAAGAATATGGTGCCAAATTCCCATTTTTAGTTCCAATATTCGGGTTTTGGTTTGTTGGATCCCTGACCCCTTTCTTTATTTGTTTATAAGCTCCCGTCCTCCTTACCGGTTAGAACCACACCAACACAATCATTGGGTTATGGGAGACTCTTTAAACTTTTCTATAGAATCGATCACTTAGAGGAAGGATATAGTAGTGTACTTGTCTGATCTGGTGGTTCATTTCATCTCTACAATTTTAAGTTAACATATGTTGTCGCTAATGACAAAGAAAAAGATTACAATCATATTTTTTTTTTGTCGGCAACGGTAGATATTCTATAAGCTAATCTAACCTAATTTAGAGGGAAGGGGTAAGGAGAGATGGTCAACTAAGACCCGTCACATATTGTGATAAATTTGAGAGAGACAAGGGGTAGAATTCCTAAACTCCAACGTCACAAAAAAGGGCGATTACAACCATACCAATGCGGTCTAAATTTCAACATGCTTCCAAAAGTCAAAGTAATAATTGTAGGGTTGCCAAATCTGTTTTGCCGCCACTAAAGGCCAATGGAACCAATCAGCTTCTCTCATTTGGTAGCATTCCACCTTTGTTACATTTGACGTTTTGGCTTTATTTGGACAGCTTTGAGGATACAAGTATTCTATTCTTCTGCTATTAGACTCTTCTGTTGTTCTAAAATATCTAACCTTTGACCACAACTTCAGCTGGGGCCTCTATAGTCTGTACCACAAATTTATACAACGATTCTTAAAAAACCAAACAAATTTCATAGCAGCAGTCGGGATGGGAAATGAGCAAACCATTAGAATATTGTAATAACCGTTGACAAATTGTGGAGCAAACCATTATCACATGTCATGTTTTCACTCGAAAGATGCTAATTAACGAAGAAGAAAATAAGGTCAAAGAACTAGACCTAAAATGTCTGAAATTTGAGGCATGTTCAGTGACAACCTAAAAGAAATTGAAAAAAAAAATCCCAAATTCACGTTTGCATGCTTTAACTTAACGTTATTTGGGTTTGTTTTAACCCTCTTCATTTGGAATCAATCATGTGCTCCGTGAAGCTGATGTAGTTAAAATTCCAATTGTGTCACTATTATATTACTCAAGAACTAGAAAGGAGAATCACCAGCAACTTTAAAAAAATATATATATATTTCTTGTGTATTTTGCACTCTCCCAAACCAATTGGACTAACCTTTATAAAATAATTTGCGTCACAAAAATAATTACTCCATTCTTAAGATTCATCACATGTCACGAACCAGTGCATCTTGATTTTGATAGTTTGTAATCTTGTTACAGGTGTGACAGGATACTGTGGAAGGGGGAGGGACTAAAGCAGTTGTGGTATGCAAGGGGGGAATCAAAATTTTCTGATCACAGGCCAGTTAATTCACTTTTCTCAGTGCAAGTAAATGTATCCCAAACAAAAAAAGTAAATGTATCCCAAACCGACAAGGCTGCTCCACCCATCAGTTCCAACGCCACCGTGCCTCGAACAGAAGCAGCAGCGCAACCCACGGTTCTATCATCATCAACTTGTGCTGCAGTTGCCAAGGTTCAAGCTGAAGAGCTATTGTTCTTGACCAGGGCAGAGAAATGCATCCAGACCACTCCTATGTTCTCAATCAACCAATAGCAGGAGAGACAATCGAGACGACATTCAAAGATGGAAAATGTGCACAATTTGGGGCTCTGATTATTCATTCATTACTGGCTTAAGCCGACTTGTTTGCTTCTCGATTGCATGGTGCTGCGTCAGTCGGTCCCTCGAAGCACTACGTGACAAAATCACACGCTGGTCAGAGGCGGGGTTCGTGGGCTTTTGACACGTTTAAAGATGCGAAACTTTTTTGCGGGCGATGGCGGGCAGCTGAAGTTCACGATGAATTGGTACAGGACGGCTTTCTGCAGTATACATTCATGTAGAACAGCAGGGAGCACGAGACGCAGTAGTAAGTGCCTGAATTTGTCTGGGCACTGTTGGCCATGCGGCTTTATCGTACCTTGTTCTTCTGGCAGTTTAATCGAGGTATATGGTCCAGCCTTTGCAGAAGCACGCTTTTATTTCATGATTTTTGCACCAGTTCGGGAAAGATGGGGGAAATTTTTGGTGGTGACTGATTGAAGCGAAGCTGTAAATGAGAAGGTGAAGAATTTTTATTTTTTTTTTTTTGAAGGGAAGAAGGCGGCTGATTTCTGTCAAGGAACTGATAAGCGGAAAGGGAGTTCCGACACCCGAGAGGTTGATTTTTGGGTCAATGATGTTTTTGATTTTTGTCCCTTAATAGCCTCTTGTCAAATTTTGTTAGTTCGTTTTTTTTTTTTGGAAAAGAATTTTGTTAAATAGTTTTACCTGGAATGAGAATTTTGCTTCAATCTGACTTGCTAATGTATGGTTCCCCCCTCTCTCAACAAGTTAATTAAAGCTGTCATCCTCTGCACAAAAACATAAAAATAAATAAATAAGAAAAAGAAAACGAGCATGTCGGTTAAGAATTAGTGACAGATGGGTTCAGTCGGATGGGTGCATTACGCATCAATTTGATTTGATCCGATGATGATATAGTACTATCGATTTTCTATAGGTCCGGTTGAACCTCCCTTCAGATTAAAATAGCGGAAGATAATATAGATAAAGTTACTAGTTTCATTTCTAGCTCATTAAGGAATAGATGATATTTGCTAACCGTTGGATCCTAAGACAGAGAACGTACCATCTGAATTGGGACAGGTTTGGCAGGTTAAAAACACAAACGGGAAGTCCACTTTCGAGGCCCAATATGATCTGTTTAGGATTACACGTTGCATTACTAATCTTGTAATTGACCTCAGGCCTGACCATGTTGAAGTTTCACAGATGACTTTGTGGAAGTACCTAAATATCCAAATCCCAGAAAGAGTGGGGGCGGGGGGAGGGAGGGAGGTAGGTAGTGAAGGGGAGAGTATTTGGATAAGCTAATTGGCGTGTATTATGTTCTTCTCATTCAATCTCAATGAGTGAAATTGGTTCAATGTTAGTAAAATGCATTTAAATGGAGAAATATGCTATTCTGGCGTCCCAACTTGAAGATATGACGACGATAAGTACGTATGTAATATTTCCGTTTATAATTCATTCATGAGAGAATTATTTCCCAATTTCGACGGTCATTCTTTGCTTACTTTCGAACGATGCTAAGGAATGTATTATCCGTATTCCGTTTTTGATTTGAACTCATATCTCGGGGACCTCGAGGGCATGGTAAGAAAATCTTTCGGCAGATGTCCCTTGAGCCTAGCGTCGACCGCTTGATTGGAAATATTTCGTTGAAAAAAGATAGCCTGGTTACCAAAGTGAAAATCTTGAAGCTGACGTTTACTCGTCGACAATAAGTACGAAAACAAAACTTCAGAAAAAAAAAAGGGAAAAGGGGAGAGAGGGAGAGAGAGAAATTAAAGTTATGCAACACCATGTGAGAAAATGAAAATACCTTTTTCATCCCTATTGTTTGGGGGATGAACTAATTTCATCCCTCTATTGTTTCATTACAAACACGTTTTATTCCTTAAATTTTAATTTTTGACCAATTAAGGACAATTGATATTGGTCTCTTAATTTTGATTTAATTAGTTATTTATTTATGATCAAATAAAGTGCATGAGAGGTACACATATAAATCAAAAGATTCCAGCAACGACAAAAACTAGCAAACTCATTTTTCTTCGCCTTTTTTTTTCACTTGTCTCCACCCATTTTTAACTTTCGGCTCTTAATCATGACCCCTCCCCCCCTTCTGTTTCGTGGACCCTAGCAAAAAACCAGAAACAAATTGGTGCAAATTCAAGCAAAAACCACATCAAATCAAAGAGTTAAAGCATAAAACGAAGTAAGTAATGGTGTAGATTGACCGTTGATTGGCTTTATTTCAAGAATCTAAAAGCATAATTTCTCTTTAAAAATAGGGATTCAACAATAGGCCAATCCCAAATTATGGCCGTTCCTTTTGCTTAATAATTAGCTCAATATGGGGAGTAAGAAATGAGTCTGCTAAGCTTTTGTCACAGCTTGACTTTTTTGACTCACAAATGTGCCTCTCACACTCTACATATGGTCATACTTGACCCATTAAATGTTAAATTCAAACGAAATTCATAGATTAATTGTTAATTGTCCTTAATTGGTCAAAACTTGAAATATAAAGGACCAAATGTGTTTGTGGAAAACAATAGTGATGGAATTGGGCCATCCTCCAAACACTAAGGATGAACAATGTATTTTCACATCCCATGTGGGTCAGCCTGGAAAGCAAATTCTCTTATAATGTGGGCCCAATTCCGATTACATCATACCCGCTCTTTCAAAAAGCCACGTCCCACAGGTCCCAGCCCCCGGGCTATAATCTGGTGCATCCAAGATCTTCCATGGAAGCGGCTTGATTCTTGATCCCGACGAGCTCATAACATAACAGTCCGTTGAACGGACCAGATAAATCGTTCTTTCCCCACGTCTACGGAGAAAATCCAAGTCTCACTCACCGATTCCGCTGACCGACTGCACCACATTATCAGTGCCATTCTCCAGGTTCATGACAAGCTCTCATGACTTAGATCTCGCCGATATCCTACTTCGCCGGTTCCGTGTTCGTAGCCGGAGAAGTTGTTGATTTCGTTGACAACTACGGTCATCTTTATTTCTCCTACAACCGCAGGTTCGTATTCAAATTTATATCGTTCTTGTCATTACTTTTTGTGCAATCTCGAGTATTCGTTTCTTGTTGAGTGTTACTTTTACACTATGCTATCACTATGATCACTCTTTGTCTTTGCGAGAGCATTTCGATTATTTTCTGGACAGGAAAATCGTGATTGATTTATAGTTCAAGAGAGCTTAGCTGAAGCCAGTATATCTAGTCTCTAGTATTCCAGCTGAGAGGGAAAATGTAGAGGAATGAATTTTAGTGTCCTTGTGAAAGTAAGTAGCTCGTCTGAATTACTTTAGTCTCAATTTTACTTAGCTGTTGAAAAATCGAATGCCATTCTAGTATTTTACGGTTTTCTTTTGGCTGTTTTATTTGTTCAATTACCAGAATGAACCAATAATCTTGACGATATAGCTACTTAAAAATGGTGACGGACTTCGATTGGGATTTATTATTGTGTTAACAGAGAATTTTTTTGAACTAATCTTGAGGTTATTTACTTGAAGATAGTGAAAAATAGTACTAGTATGAATCCGTTATTTGTTATGGCAAGTGCCTGTGCTGTGGCCTAGAGTTCTATTGGAGAAAATAAGAGGATTGTGATTCCGTCAGTAATTGATGGTGACATTGTAGGTCAATTGGTTCCATATGAAGGTTTCTCAGAGTGTTGCCTGCACGACTTCCGCTATGTGGCGAAAGTACTACAGTTAGATTGAAGATATCCTTGCCAGTTGGGAGTTTTCTCTTGATTGAAATTTTGGAATATTCGTATTAAGTAGAGTTTTTGCTCTGATAGTGTTAGTTCGCGTTTGTTTGCTGATTGTTAAATGATGTAGCTCGTAATGTACCTCACTGTGCCGTTTTTGTTGCTTGTGAGTATTCCCAGATATTTAATAAACTTTTTTAGTTACCTAAGAAAAAAAATAATGAAAGATATCTGAGTGTTTTGGATTTAATCAGTTTGTTTCAGAATATTAAAGGAATCCACGCTGGTCTTTTATTCGTCTTTCTGGTTGTTATTTGCCTTCTAACTGATTTTGAAAGAAGTTGCAGCTTTTAGGTAGATAGAGTTATTGCTTTGTGTAAATTGCTGATCAAACTTGAGCAATTATTCAGTTAGATAGTGAAAGATTTTTTGAATGGTTAATTGTTTCTCTGACTACTTAGAGCTGGGTGATGCGCTTTCGTTTTCTCTAAACTGGGGAACGGGGACTGGGTAATCTTTTAAACGTATATAGAATGGTTTTGGAAAATTTTGTAAACCGATTAGAGCATAAGATCCGAGTAATTCATTTCCGTTCAGCCTTCAACTTCCAAAAACCTGCTATGTAGAAATTTGAACTTCTGATTGAAATTTATGGAGGCATAAAATGCAGTACTCAGGATTAAATGGAAGGTTGGTGCTTTTGGGGAGAGTACTTTTGATCTTATACTGCTTTTTTCAGATGAGTTTACTCCTATGGTCAGAACACTCTTGAAGCTCAGTTAGTCTAAAGTGGAGTCTGTCTGTTGACTCAAAATATTGTTGTGACTTGTTGCTTTTGAATGCAATTTCTGTTTTCCTTTACACGAGGTCATATCTTTTAAATTTTGAATGAAAGTACTAAGCATACTCCACCTGATTTGCTCTTCAGTTCTGGGATTTTGGGATCATGGCTCGTGGAAAAATCATAAGTAGTTAGCTACATTTTGTACTTAACAGTACTATTTCCAGAATTTGGGCCTTTAAGTAGCAAAATCATTGAGATCAGATTCATTCCAAGATGGCTTACAATACTTCATCAAGAACTGAGCCAACAAATTCTCATCAATGGCTTATGGAAAGTGCTGAGGCAGAGTTGTTCCCTAATAAAAAGCAAGCAGTTGAAGCTCCAAATTCCAATTCATTCTCTGGTTTTCTAAATTCAAATGTTTCTCATTGGGGACATTCTTCCACTTTCCATTCAGTTGCAAACCAATTCACACAAAGGCTTTTTGACCCTGAGACTGCAAGGACTATCAACTTTGGTCAGAGAAATGTTCCATCAGTTGACTTGGGAAATATAAGTATGAAACGAAAGGTTATTGAGGATTGTGTTGAAAGTGATTTCTCATTTGGTTTATCAATATCTAATTCCCTGGAAGATCCTAAGACAGGTCTTAATTATGGGGGTATCAGAAAAGTTAAAGTCAGCCAAGTCAAGGATACAGAAAATCTCATCCCTTCATTTGGCCACACATATGACAGAAAGGACAGCGGTTATGTGTCAGTGCCTCATGCGTTTGTCAACACAGATGATAATTCTGTTTCTATGGGACTTTCTTTCAGTAGAGCAGATAAAAATGTGATGTCAATTGGAACTTCCTTCATGAGGGAGGATAACGATTTCGTATCAGTGGATCAACCTGGCAACCATCATGGCTGTGATGGGACTTCAATAGGTCCTGCATACAAGGAAAATGGTAGTATATCACTCAATACATCTCTAGATAAAGATGGAAAAAACACAGGAGCACTAAGTTTCCAAAATTTTGGTATAAATGAAGGAGCAGTGAGTCATTCCTTAAACATGAATGGTGCTGTTGAATCAATTGAGCTGCCTTTCAGCATGGATGATAGTAATATTGCCCATACAGGGCAACTTTTTGATAAAGAAGCTCAAATAGCTGCATGTATAGATCACTCTTACAACAATACTGAAGATCATCATATGTCAGGGTCTAAAAGCTACAACACAATTGACGACAATAATTTGTCATTGGCCCACCATTGTGGTAAGGGAGAAAGTAAGATCATATCTTTTGGTGGAATTTCTGATGATGATAATTTGAGTGCTTCTGAAAGGCTCATATGCAGTTATGACTTACTAATGGGTCAATCTTCAGTTCTAAAATCTGAAACAGTGAAAGGAAAGGTGTCAGTTGAGTCAAATGCTGATGCACTTGCAAAAGCCACTGAAATAGTTACTAGTAAAGAAATTATTTCAAGGAAAAAAGAGGAACATAAAGTAATTAAAAAACCTCCTCCAAATAATTTCCCTTCTAATGTTCGAAGTTTGCTGTCAACTGGTATACTAGATGGAGTACCCGTGAAGTATATTGCGTGGTCACGAGAGGTAAGCTTTGATCGCCATTACTTCAGCTTGAAATTGGCTTTTCTGACACTTATACATTTTATATTGCGTGACAGAAAGAACTTAGGGGCACCATAAAAGGTTCTGGTTATCTATGTGGTTGTGAGACATGTAATCATACCAAGGTCAGTGAAACTGCAAAAGTTCTAAATTCTTGCATGATTATGTAACTGCTTTTATTGCTACAAGTACCTATGATGTTGTTTTGTAGGCGATTAATGCCTACGAGTTTGAGCGTCATGCTGGATCTAAAACTAAACATCCAAACAATCACATATACTTTGAGAATGGCAAGACAGTTTATGGGATTGTTCAAGAGTTGAGGAATACTCCACAAAATCTGTTGTTTGATGTAATTCAGACAATTACTGGGTCACCCATCAACCAAAAATCCTTTCGTCTTTGGAAAGGTGATGCATTATTTTTTACTTATTATTATGGTTCATTCCATGGCCTTTCTCATGTTCTTATGAGTTGCGTGTTGATTTTATTTCCTTATCTTCAGAATCATTTGTAGCTGCAACACGTGAACTTCAGAGAATATACGGAAAAGAGGAAGGAAAACAACTATCTTGAAGTGGGCAAAATCAGTGTAAGATGTTGTTATGTTTGTCCTCTAGCTTGTGGAGATTTTGTTACTGAATTGAAGTTAGAGCTCTTCATAAATTTATTAGCGGCTAAAATTATGTAGATTCTCATGGTGATAGACAAGGTGCCTTGCGGGATGATAAACTGAAAGTACAGAAAATAGAACTGATTGTTTGTAATAGGATGAATTATGCTGAAGGAAACTTATGGAACGGATTGTAACATTTGTACAAAATGTACAGTATAGTGTCTGGTTTCATTGTTGCATAGCGTCCACACTTGCAAGAAGTGGGTTTCATGCGATTTCAATCTAATGCAGTAACTTGATAGCATTATTCCAAATGAACTGGGCATTAGTTGGAAAAAATGAAAGTCCTGCAGAGGCAAAATGATGACATGTCTAAATCTTGACTTTTGATGAGGAAGAATACACTTGTTATTTTTTCATTGTGTAGGATACATTATTTACTTTCTATTTTATGCTGGGCGTTGGACTTGAAATTCACAAGAATCTATTTAGCCCACAACATGTAGTGGGAAAAGAATTGTTGTTTGAATTGCAAACGTTGCATATGCTTTAACTGATTGATTCTCCTCAAATTGATGTGGTTTTGGTCTATATTGCCTTAGCCTGCTTCTTTAGAGTTTGGCAGGAATTAAGCACACATGGCCAGTAGTTTTTCTATTGGAACTTGGATATTAGCATATGTATTTAAGATCTGGCTGCTCAATTAAGATGAGGTGGGTGTATTAATTCAGAATAAGTCTCAAAAAGTGGTATGATTTCAATTATTCAATAGGCAGGGCTGTTACATTGGCGGTTCTATGCCTGCCAAAGTAAACAGTTTCTAGAGCTCCTGATGTGACCTTTCTTGATGTTTTCTTGTCCCTCTTATGAGTTTCAACATCTATTTCTCCTCAAAATATGTTACAAGAGAGGTTGATGTTTTGGGTACATATCTAGGTATTGAAGAACAAAGCTGGGACAAATACCACATTTTCAAGTACCCAATTGCCATGGTCTTGGATAAAATTGTTAGATGCCATGTTCTATCAGCATGTAGAGTGTTCACAATTCCACAAGCTGACTGGTGTCCTCAAATGCATGCTTGTCAAGAAATATAACATGTCAATTACTCACCCACATATCCTTATCTGGGGTAAATGTCTTATGATAATTGACATTAAAAAACATTGCAGTGGTCAAGTGACTCTACACCACATATGCCGTCATTATGTTAGACTGGCTTTAGTCGCATTACAATTAGAATATACTCTACCTTTCCCTGGAGTCATCATGAACAGGGGGTACAGAAAAGAAGTCTACTGTTTCACATGGAGTTAAATCAACTTTCAGAATGACTATATAGAATCTGAGAACTGTTGTCATTATACTTCATCTCCAGTGACAGCTCCTTCTTTGGATGAATTAATGTTGACAACCTCATGATTATTGTTTTCCTTGCACTTGGTATCTGCACTCATCATTTGAATGTCTGTTGGAAGTCCTTCAATAGACGGGCAATCATAGTCCTTTCTTTTACCCCATACAACAAGATAAAGGCCAACAACTATGGTAATGGCTCCAAGCACCCTGCAAAATATGATGTTAGCTATGTGTTTGCATAGCCATAGTTATTCCTTGCGGGTGAGATGGTAAATTGTTACCTTCCCAGATCCATTAGCTCATGCAGTATGAAAGAGCTTAAGACAGCCACAATAACCATGTTCAAAGGACTAAAAGCTGTCACAAAAACAGGGCCTCTTTGTTTCATGACTACTCCTTGGATATAATAAGCAAGTCCAGAGCAGAAAACACCCTGCATATGGTTGAAATGCAATCTCAGCTGATTATGCACATAGAACATCTATGTAGTGGTTGCATATAATGTGAACAAAGTGGTTTTATAATAGCAAATATACTCTTTTGGTGATACTGAGCTTTCTTTTCTTATCTTTTATGACCAATTCCTTAATTTTTTTGGTTCATCATTTGTATTTTCAATGGTTCCTGTTACAATAAAACATCTTCTGGTTTGGTTCCAATATGCTGACATTTTGAGAATGGAATTACTAGAGCCTCAATGATGCAGATGGAGGAATGCTAGAACTGGAGTTAATAGTAACACTTTTGCTGGGGAACTGGTAATAAACATGTATAACACGATCACTTTCCAAAAAGTAAAGGGCTTGTGCTTGTTTTGGCCATGTTTTTCTTACACTGTATAAAGCTGCAAGAAATTTAGTATCCCAGTTTATGGACCACACTGCAGCCTTTCCCCTCTCCATTATTAGTGCCAGTATGGCTCCTTCAGCTGTTCCCAGTAGGCATATCCAAGCAGTGAGAGAGAGCTCAGCTGGATATGCCTGAAGTGTAATTGCCTAGAAATGTAGAGGAAAGAAATTAGCTTATCATGATATACTACAAATTTCTTGTATACATTGTATCATGTCATTTCTTACTTGTAAAACCATGAAGCAAGACCAACCGAAATATCCAATTGTGATAAAGAGTGCGCCCTTGATTGAATTTTGAAGATTTATACCACCACTTTGATGTTCAGGACTGGTGGTTCCTTTTGTCCAGGGCAGCTTAATAACTGGTCCTCTAAGTAGTGTCATGAGCATGGCACCTCCAACGGTGGCAACAGTGCCAACTATCTTTGCTTGGCTGTTAATACTCTTTAATTTCACCTTCTCAAGCCTAGCATAAATGTTCTTTAGAGCTTATTCAACCCTTATCTTATTACAAGAAAGTTATTACTTGCTTTTACGGTTGCGTGTGCATGTATGTGCATCTAGCATTCTTGTTTACATATGCATGTAAGGCTTTATTTGTTATGAACTTTGAGCTTTACAGTTTCCGATTGAAGTTGGAAGAATGCTGTATTATTCACCTGAAGATCCAGGCCATCAGAAAGGTTATGGCAGGAAGAATGTTGCTCATGGCTGCAGCAAAGGTCGCTGTGGTGTATTTCATGCCCAAAAAGTAGAGGTTCTGGTCTATAACTGGTCTGTTAATTGGAGCCATATAAAAGTCATTAGTAGGTATTCTACAATTGATACTGAGAAAACAGGATCTGATTCGAGACTTACTCGAGTAGGCTGAGAACCAGGATCTTTGCAAATATTGAGAGTCTCATCTTCGGCCTTATTTTCCTGTTGAAAAGTATGTTCAGCTATTTGATATGTACATTTTATTACTGGAGCAGTTGATCATGGACATAAAACTAGAGGCATATAGTGGCTTATACATAAATAAAGGCAGGATTCACAAGCAGATAGAGAGAGAAAGAGACTTGTCCAGTATGATGGCAAAAGGGGCAATAAGAGCCGTGGCAATCGCATGGCGGTAGACCACAAATACATAATTGCTCATCCCTTCATTGAGTGCAACTTTTCCGATGATATCCATTCCTGCAAACCCAAATTGCAAAAAAATTACAGCAGCAAAGGGCTTCGCCCTGTTAAATAGCTTGTAAATTATATCCTTTGCAGCAAGTCCTTTTGTTTCCATCTTCCCTACTCAGCTATTGTGTTGCTTCAAAAGGAGGTCCTGAAATGTAGCTAAGTTGTTCTATATATTATAGCGATCCTCTAAATCAATTGATGCCACCTAGTGCAATTCTGTAAATTCTGCTTCAATATCATGGAAGCTAAGTGTGGGGGAGTTGCATAAACTTATGAAACTTGCCTATCGTTTGAACTTGCCTCAGGTAACTATATAAAGGGCAAAAATGTTACACTTAGTTGCCCGGTCTGTTCCATTTACTTTATTGGCTGCTTAACTGATTCTGTGGAGTTGCTCTAGTGAGTGGAAGTTCATTCGGAGATGGGAAATGATTGGTTTAGTTTCTTTATTTTACTCATTTAGGCATTGTGAAAGCCTATGTTACGATGTGACATGTTTTTAATCTACTATGTTTATGAATCATTGCAGCAAGGATCATAGCTGATGTGTGATGACCAAATTGGTTCTTGATTGAATTTATTACAATCTGGTAAGCATCGACTGAAATTCTTAAATGTCAAAATTGCATTTTTTTTTCAGGATTTACAGTCTGAGATTCGTTGTGGTCTTTTTTAGAATAAGATGCATTATGTGGCAAAAGAAGTGGCCGTAAATTTTTCAGAACTATAGAATGAGTTCTACGTCGACATTGTTTATGCCTCAATTTCTAATATCTGCAGGTAATGAATGAGCAGTAAGTCGCATCTGAACTGTTTTTTTTTTTTTTTTAAAAAAAAAAAAAGACCATAAGCCTAGTTTCTTTAGAGAGGATACGTAAAAAAAAAAAAAAAAAAACCGTAAGCCTAGTTTCTTTAGAGAGGATACGTAGAGGCACTACGTCGCATTGCAGTTTCTTTTTCTTTGTGCTTCCTGCATTGGCAACGCACCACCGATCCCAGACGAATCCATCGATAACAACAACATTAGTTGTGTGACGCGTCCTGCTGGGAGTGTACTATAGATGCCTCGTACCCAATCATGTTTGGCATGCTGTGTTGGTGTACATGCATAAACGGTTCCCGGTTTATGTTGCAAGAACATCATCTACTTTCCTGGTTTTGATATGAGTGCGGAATCATCTGGTATCGTATCTGAGTACGTACATAAAGAGTAATATGCGAGTGCGAGAGTGGGAAACGTACCGACTAGGAATACATTTAGGAATGAATCCATCGAGTGGATTGTTTTGTGAGAATGCGGCAACACATTCCTATCCAGCAAAAACTATTTTACTACTTTCCTAGTCTTTTTTGCGTGTATTTCGTCTCCATATGGTGGACTCCTCTTGATTGAACTTTTGACTCCAGCGGGAAACCTCGAAAATCTATTTCCGGTGTGGCGTGCTCGAGTGTCCGTGCATGAAAAAGTTGTTTCATGCAAGCCGCTTTCCAAAAAGTCGAAAAGATATCCAGGGAAAGCGAGGAACAAAACAAACTATCATCTACTTTTGTAGTCCCATTTGTGGTGCATATTCTTGGTCAAGTTGATTCAGCGGTGACGGTGAGTGACAAATACTAAAAGGGATTATATCACAAACCTCGCTTGAGGTTTCTAATAATTTTACTCAGTTTTCCCGAGGTTTCAATAATTGTATGGACCTCCCTTGGTCCGATCAAATGATTAAAATATTTTCCACTTAATAGGTAATTCATAAAGGGACATTTAAAGTTAAAAAATATTTATTATTATTCTACTTGCCATTTCGTAATCGTAAAGAATAATCTCTATCAATATTCTAATTTTCATCTTTTTCTCCCTGCCTCCATCTTTCTTTCATACTCTTTTCTTTTTTGTCCTACAATCGCTTTTTCCTCTCATCAAATATCGCATTCCATTGTTACCAACCAAACCACTATCAATTTTTTACCATCTCCAAAATTTATCTGTACTTTTTATCCTCCTGTCTCTTTCTTACTATAAAAATTTTAGACCCTTTTTTAAAAAAAAAAAAAAAGTTTTACTCTTTACAAATGTTAGCCAATTGAAGTTACCAAATTAATGAGTTGCAGACTGTAGATTTTATTGTCAAACTAGGAGAAAATGAAAAAGGTGGGAATGATATAGGGGAAAAAAATAAAATTGAGAGTTGGAAGATAAAGAAGTGACTATTATGTCTTTTAAGCAAAAAAAAGTCTAGCAATTAAAAAACTCATTGGCTCTCTTTTTTATTTACCTATTGATTGTGGATTTACAATGAAGGTAAAATTTTGTCTCTATTTCTAAGAGTGATAGAGCAATGATGAATTATGTTCTTAGGGACATGGGGTATTTTTTGGTTTTGTATTGGTAGTGGTGGTAGTGATTTGTACTAGACAAGAATTAGAAAGTAATGAATATTAAGGTGAGTTGGAGTTACTGAAATTTGTTTGCTTAAGTGAATATGCTACGTACAAGAAGTTAAATATTAAAATTTTATTTTGTTTTGTCTTGTTCTCTAAAAGAAGTGTATTTTAGGATATTTGTGAAAAAAAAATTAGGTTATTGGATCTATATTGTTACATAAATCTTAAAAGCGAGAAAGATAAGTGTAATTTTTGAAACTTGAGAGGTGCTCTCTATAATTGCTGAAAATCTCAAGGGAGGTATCTGAAATTATCCCAAACTATAAAAAGGTCGCCCCATATATATCTATATCATACAACCACAAACCATGATATATCATCACAGCCACAAAGGGATAGGCTGCTCGTCATTTGCCTGGATTTCGTTGTAACAGATTGGACTATTACGTGAGCGCGAATAAAAATAGCGCCACGCTTGCGAGGCCTCGTAAGTACTGATAGTAGCAGCATAGGTCAGCAGTGAGTAGTACCAGAATCCATATTCCGGTTGCGGATGTGAGGATGCTGGCTTAAACGGTTCGAATCCAGAGATCATCCTCCTTATCAACCGGTGATGTTGCTAATGGAGGTTGCTGTTGCACATTTTATTATTTAATGTACGTGGGATAAAATGGTAATTGAAAGAATAAAAAAATTAATTGAAAAATGTGTTTATAATACAAGCACGTAACTAATATCTTATAAATAAGCATCAATCCAAACAAACCCTCCGGAGTTTTGCCCGCATTTGAATATTCATTCATCGGTTCTGCCCCAGTGATATCTGGCTTTAGCCAAAACAACAACTTGGGTCCGTAAAGTAGGAAGAAAATGGTAGTGGTTTCAAATGCGCATTCCACAAAGAGGTACAAAAGGGATCATCAAGTCTGGCAAAAGTTGCTGTAAAATGATCGGCAGCGCATCAATTCTGCGGTAAAATTATTGTCGGCCAGCGTGCAGGAAATTTAACATGGGAATGACATTGCGACCATCTTCAAGAACGTCTGTCAGTCGTGTCTCCTTCTCGAATGATCGCATCCGTCGGATTTTACGGGTGATTCCTGTAATTTTATGTAGTACACTCGTTGTTGTATTCTCCTAATGCCTAAATTGTATCTGCAGTTACGTAATACACACTAAGTAAGCTTAATTGTCATGTTCTTCTACTGCCAAACTAGGCTCGTTTGCGGATTAGGGGATGCCTAAGTAGGCTTGTTATATTCTCCTACTGCCTAAATTGTTAGCATCTATTGTAGTTTGTCATGTTGTTGGACCAGATCCCCATTTTTCAAACGAACTACTAGACCAAATCTGCAACGGATCTTCTGTCCCACATTCTGTGTCACTCTCTGTTCCTCTTTTTATTATATTATTATTTCTCCTACATAACCATCATGTTTAAGTTCTTTTTTTGTTTTCTTAAGATCTAATAACTATTAATTGAGTAATACACAAAATTTAACAAACTCAAAAAACCAAAATGCATTAAAAAAAAAGAGATTTTTTATGAATTTTCTGCTATATTTTTTAGTTTTCTATTATATATTACTTTTTTGAAGTTACTGTACTTATATTTTACTCAATTAATAATTATTGGATTTTAAGGAAACAAAAAAGAACTGAAATGTGATGTTTATGTAGGAGAAATAATAATATAATAAAAAATAGTACAAAGAGTGGCACAGAATATGAGATAGAAGATCCGATGCGGACCAAATCCCCATTTTTTTTTTGAATTTTTGAACGAATGAATTCTCTTAATTGTCACGTTATCCTACTGTCAGACCAGATCTCCGCTCTTTGGATTTTTTGAACAAAGGAAGTCTTTCTGAATTTTCTTTTAATTGTCGTGTTCTCCTACTGCCAGATTAGATCTCTACTCTCTGGCCGGATTTTTTTTTAACGAAGGAATTCGCTCAAAGAAGTTCTCTTAATCGTCATGTTCTCCTAATGCCAAACTATAGATCCCCACCCTCTAGATTTTTTGAACAAAGAAAGTCTCTCAAGTAAGTCTCTTTTTTTGAAAAAGGGAAAAGAAAAAAAAAAGTTGTCTCTGGATTTTTTGAACAAAGGAAGTAGAAATTATAAGACTTTTTTGTAATCTAATTCATAAGAGAATTCTAAAAGACTCATCCTGACCATTAGACCAAAACTCAATGATTATTGGCTAGTCGATTGAATTCCCAAAAACTTAAATGTCCGTTTGAAATGGACTTTTGGGGTGTTTTGTTTCATAGAAAATAACATTCTTTTTTAGGTGTGATAAATGGTGATTGAAAAATGTATTAATTATGTTCCCTAAAATTTCCAAAAAAAAAAAATTCACCAAATTTGCAATCCTAAAATTTACAAACTAGACACCCTATAGTGAATAAAAAGGAGAACTGTTAATGATTAACAAGCTTATGGAGATATTTTGGAGGCGATGAGCGTTATCCTTATTTCAAGGGATATGGATGGAAAAAAAAAAAAAAAAAAAAAAAAAAAAAAAAAAGAAATGAGTTCTGCCCCCAGCTAAACATCCAAGGCTTCAATTAATCGCGAGGAACCAAACAAAAACTAAAAGGGAAACAAATTTGATTGGTGGCTTTCAGTTTATCTTGCCCATTCTACATCATCATCCTCCCTTTCTCCGCCTTTCTTCGGTCTTAAAGGAGTTTTTGAGATTTAAAGGAATCTTTTCTTCTGTCATCTTCTTTAATCTCTACAGCTTTTGGTCAACCAAAGGCAAAAAGTCTCAATAATTTGATTCACTTGCTTGAGGATCCCATCTTTCAAATCTGAGATTTTGAGTGCTTGTCTACACCCTACGGAGATCTGATGAATGGCGGTTTGGATAATATTTATTTGTTAATATACTCCGAAAACAACACAG